TTTAGGTAAGGGTTGAGGTAAAGGAAGAAGTAACCTGAAATACAGCCTCTACTCTGAGACTTATGAGGCTCATTGCCATATCTAACTATTGTGTTGGGAGATGTTAAAAACAAGGAGAGGAAATGATTCAGAGAGATTATGCTTGCACAGAATGTTGACAGTGCAATGAAAGTTGTAGAATCAGAATGGTGCTTCCTGGTCACTATACAACTGCAAACAACCTCAAGTATTGTTAGCAGTAATGACAGTTTCAATCATTACACACTGCACATTTACATATTATTTTGTTTGGTTTTCACAAAGAAAACATTAATATTCACAGCATTTAGTGATTTCTCATTTTGAGACATTTCGGAAACAATGGAAGACTTAATTATTTTACTCTAAGTCCAACCTGATATAACAATAGTAATAGGGTACTACTCTTTGTCTACTATGTGTTAGGTGCCATGGTAGATGTTTTATAGCCATTATGTCATTTAACTGTTACACAGCGAAATATTATAATCTATAGTTTACAGACAACAAAACTGATGCTCAAAAAGATTAAATGGCTTAGCCAAGGTAATAACTCTAATAAATGACAGAGTAGAATTCAAAATCCAGTTTTATCTGACTCTAAAATCCATACCCTTTCTACTACACTACATTGTATAGTATTAAAATGAATCTTATATCTCTGGTATTCATTCAAATTATCTGAGTTTGATATTACATATTCATAAATGATAACCATAGAAAATAAAGATTTTGCTATGTATGCTTATGTTTTTAGGGCCCAGAACTAAGCCCTAATACATTTGAATATACGAAGTAGTGAATTATGTTAAAACATTAATTCCTTGGATTAGGCTAAACACAAAAAATTGCTACTGAAATCATGTATCCTCCAGAGAAGGCCTCTTCAGTTCTCCTCCAGTACAATGGGCAGCATAGAAATTGTTCGATTTAATTAGTTATGTTTGTAGGAAGAGACCCTCATCTGTTTCCATGGAGTCAAACACATCACTGACATACTTCTCCATGGAAACACAGAAGGGAAAACAGAAAATGCTAAAGTGAATGAATTCACTGAGCAGTTGGTGAACAAAGATTCAAGAAAAAAATTAATTCATTTGTAGTACCATGTCACTAGTTTAGAAAAGAGAAATAGCATATATTTAGACATCATCAAACATGTGCTTCATAAAAGGATGTTTAAAATAAATTGAAATTTAAGATGAAACAGTTATTATTTTAGTATGAATATACAAATATTGGGAAATACCACAGAGCAAAGGTATTACAGAGCAAAGGTTTACGTGTCTTCTAGGCACAGAAGACATGATGGCACGATTCTTACAAGATGCACGGTGCTACCCTCAGTCAGTAATGAATGAGGAGTTCCTCAAACAAGATGCTACAAAGCATAGGGAACGATCTATAAATAAATTTATCAGTTTTATACTAGCTTCACATCAGGATTGCTTTTTGGTTTTTTAAGGATTTCTCTTTGGGGATATAAAATTATAGGACGGTTTCAAGTTTTATGATGAAATATGTTAGTTCATTTATATGACTGGGCACGTATACGTGGTTTTAATTTACAACTGTATGTTTTGTTTTCTTTGAAGGTTATATTTCTCATTATATTAATAAAGAATTCATTCTATATGGTACTTTTTCTTGAGTCATTCTGACCTAAAAAATTTTTTTTCTCATGGAATTTAGCCTCAATTTGCCTCTCAATTCAATTTAATTTAACTCAATAAATTTTTAGTCTTGGCTCTCAAGACGATTGTAGACTACTTGGGAGGAAAGAATGATTCTATTTATTCATTCCTTCAACAAATATTTTTCATGTGCCTACTGTGTGCCAAGTACTGTGCTCGATTTTGTGGATATAGTGATGAGTTAAAACACACCCAGTCTACTCTCATGGAGGCTACTAGCATATGGAGGAGAGAGATATTAGAATAGTCATACGCATAAATACACAGTCTGAGCCAAGTTTTATGAAGGAAAACTACAGAGTGCCAAGAGAGAACACAAGGAACAGCTTCACTGAGATGGGATGGTTAGAACAGGCCTCTCTGAAGAAGTGACCTTAAAGCTGAGACCTGAAGGATGACCAAGAGTTAGTCAGACAGAGAATGGGGAGACCAGCATTTCAGGCAATACCCTGAGATGGAAAAGGGCTTGGCAGGTTTGAGAAACCGAAAGAAAGCAAATTTTTCTAGGAAGAGAGTTGTGAAAGGTAAGGGTGGAGAGGAGAAGAGGTACACGTAGCATTTAAAATTTTATTACAAGTATAATGGGAAGCAATGAAAAAATTTTGAACATGAAAATGACATAACTGTACATAACGCTTTTCAGTTCAAGTGAACAGGGAAAATTTAGCCAAAAAAAAAAAAGGTCAAAAAAGGCAAAAGGTGGGGCCGGCCCGGTGGCGCACTGGATAGTGCGCCGCTTGGGAAGCGCGGCGGCGCGCCCGGCCGAGGGGTGGG